ACAGACCGCTCACACACTTCTCACAGACCGCTCACAGACTTCTAACAGATTCTAACAAACCGCTCACAGACCGCTCACACACTTCTCACAGAACGCTCGCAGACTTCTTACAGACCGCTCACATACTTCTCACAGACCGCTTACATACTTCTCACAGGCCCGCTTACAGACTCTCACAGGCCCGCTTACAGACTGCTCACCGCTTGCAGATTTCTCACAGGCCCGCTTACAGGCCCGCTCATAGGCCCGCTCACAGAAATAAATATATGATCATTATTCAGTGTTTGCATGGACCGATGGTCTTAATGTTAACCAATCATGTTTTGGTGAGAGGTCCAAATAATGGTCTGTCTTTAAATCTGGTTTTGCTCAGCCCTTCCCTCCCTGTGAGGAGTGGCTGGGCTTGAGCACATATTACCTCTGCAACAAGATTTGCCATCATTGCATGGCAGACAAAAAAACTTACTTTGCACCAACCATGCGTGATCAACGCCGGTCTGAAGAATCGTTTGCACAATCTCTGAAGAGACCTGCCAGCACCTTGACTCACTGGCAACATGCTCCTCACCATGGCATGAAAACAAATGAGTGAGATGTCACGGTGGTGATCACTCGAAAAGAAATAGTTTTTTTTTGCAAACATGTCATGTGGTTGAGTGTCCTGGTCATGGGTTGGTAGTGACAAGATCCATAATTTGTGATAATTTTTGTTTGCGCCTAACACGTTTTGATTCGATCTAGTGACATTTAAAATCAAGGCCCTTTGTTGCAGCTACCACTCTTCAACTCTTGCATGGTTCGTTGGTGCATGATGCATATATTGCATCTTGGAGTTGATCAATGGATCCTGGGCTCCTCTTTTCGATGCCTTTTGGAAGATTTTGATGTGTGGGTGAATGCTGATGGTGAGCGCCCGTCAGATGATGATCGACTATATGCTGCGTGGTTGGCTTTCAAGTCATGGGCTCGCTCGAACAAATGGGAGTGTTCTGGCCAATTTGTATTTGGGTTTAAGTTTTCTTTTTTTGCCAGCTGGTTGATTTCAAAATCGATTGAAGTTTTTGTGTGCTATGCAAGTGACAAGTAAGGCACAGTTCCCCCAGGTTTTGTGCCAAGGGTTTGCGCTCAATGCAGCACCCGTACCCAGAGTTCCAATCGAAAGCGTGGAATGCCCCTCTGCCCTGTAATGTGTGCAGCATTTTCACTTTCTATTTTAATGCAATAGGGCTAGCAATTTTTCTTGGTGCGCATGTTGGTGTAGTTAAAGGGGATTCCAGAGTATTTTCTAGCTAGGTGCACTAAGGGTTGAATTGAGGCTCGCGTCGTGATTTGCTGGATGGCATCCTTTCTTACTGGTCTCAGTGCTGCCTTCGCTGGTGATCCTGTGAAAGCGCTGCGGCTCAAGAAGATGTGTGACTGTGTGTGCCTTGGCTGATCGGTCGGTACAGAAGTTTGGACGATCTCGTAGGTCGTGAGGACCGTGTCATAGACACACCTGTTGTCGTCTGGAAGGTTCAATTAAGACCTTGCTACGTGTAGATGCTCAAGCTCAGCAAGCTTCATAGAGCAGTGGACATTTGATTGCCCAAAGCACTTGGGTCATGTCAGTGCTGTGCTCAATGTCCATACTGAGCTGATTTGTTTCTTGGTCTTCGCCAGTGCAGTGAAGCGTGATAGAGAATGAACTCTGCGGCGGCTTGATATCTTGCAAGCAGCTTCTGCTCACCTTGCTCACCTTTCCTTCACTGCGCGCACCTTGCTCACCTTGCTCACCTTTTCTTCACACTGACAACTCTGTGTGCAGGTGGCCGGAGCCTGAAGGTGGCCGGAGCCTGAAGTACACTCACTGGCGAGCCGGGTCGGTCTGAAGCGGATGACATCTTCTTATCGAAGGTTCTCAGGGATGAGCTCAATATCATCCTCCCCAAATTCCATCCGCTCATCTCCCATCATGGGCAGTTGATTGTGAGGGCGCCTGTCTTTCCAAAGCCACACCTGGAGCGACCTCCAGATCTGTAGAAGTCTAGCGCCTGAGATGGCCATCATCCTGTATGCGTTAGGCCCACTCTGCCCAGCTCTCCCCGTTGGTTTGATGCTTCTCGGGGGCTTGGCAGCCGCGAAGTTGATCTCTTTGTTCATTCGAGATCGGCCGTAGGGCTTCGATTTCAGTCATCAACTCGACGCATTGCAGATTTGATGTTCGAGAGTGCTCCTCCAGCTCGTCGATGATTGAAGTGACACCAGACTCCCTAAACACCACTCCGTCGCAACTGTCCCTGGACCATCCCCCCCTTGTCCAAATCCCAGGTGCAGTGTTGCCGCCTTCCATGATGAATCTGAGCGCTGTGGCCGCTACCTGGATGGCGATGCGGCCAAATCCATGCAACGGCATTGTGAGTCTTGTCTGGGATATTTTGGCTGGTGAAGTTTTGATCCACCCATGGTTGAGAAAAAACGTCTCTAAGAGTCTCTAGGTGTTGAGCATAGTATTGGGACATACTGGGACCATGCATGGGTGAGGAGATGTGCTTGGCTTGCTACATAGATCTGGCCATTGAAGCACTTGAGATGTCGCGTCTTTGGTGGCCTGCACGGCCCAAAATTCATGTTCCTAATTCTGAACTTTGGAAAGCTTTAAACCTGGTTTGTGTACGTAGGTTGTGGGTTCCCAAAACAAATCTGGGCTCCAGCTCATAAGCTCATCCCCAAGGCGTTCCAGGAGCTAGCATGGTGGCAAGTTCATGACCGCCCCTAGCACCAATTAAAGCAAGAGTTTTGTTTTAAACGTTTATGGTTGTAGCTCTGTGGCCAATCCGTTTTTGATCCTGCATGACCTAAAGGAATTGGTTGCCGCAAGTACCACAGCTTTGGCAGTGAAGACTGGATTGGCCACATGAAGTCCTGCTGTGCTGCCAGTCACCAAACTTCTTTGGAGCACATGGCTTTGGAACGATGGTTTAGTGGGTGCCCCGCACTTTGATCAACAAGTTTATATGTTTGACTGTTTATGTGAATACCGAATACCTGATGAACCTATTTTCTTTGAGCCCCAGCCCAGGTGCACCATGCAGAAAGTCGCTGCAAGCTGGTGCTGAGGACCCCGGCTGGCGCCGGTGAGCTCGTTGAAGAGCTCGAGGAGGAAAAAAATGTGATGGGAGGTCGAGCGCAGTGGTCGGTGAGGTCTTTGGAGGGTGGAGGATAGATTGGGGTGGAATTCAAGGAAACCATACAATTCCAAAACCTTCCCATCATGCAGGTGGCCCCAAACACCATGAAATCATGCAATTCCACCCCAACTACCTCCTGAGCGTGCTGTTCGGATCCACTGGGATACACGGGATGATGTTACAGCAGGCGTTTTGCAAAGCGCGAATGATTGTAACAGAAACGCCGTGGATTTGGACGTTCTTCGCCGTAGCGGTTCAGGTGGTTTTGGGCGACCAACGAATCGAAGAGCTCTTCGAGCAGATCTCGCGGGCCTTTGGGGAGGCCTTGGAGGACACCTTGAAACGTGGCCGAAGCAGTGGAACGATTGAGCTAAGGCGCTAAGGATACCTAAGGCATTGACATCTAAATATTTTAACGTAGAAAAACGGTTGGAACTTGTGTATGCCAGGACCCCCAACAGGCTGTTTGGCATGTTTGGCACCCTAACAGGTGTTTCCGCTGCTATGTGTATTGTTTGATTGTGTATGTATATGTATATATACTATATATATATATATTTATGTATATTTACACTGCACTATATATATATATATATCGATATATGTATCAATATACGGATGAGAATGAGGTTTGACTTGAGGAGTCCTGGAGAATTTGTTGAAGGATGTTGCCAACCTTGTTTGGGTGGGCAGTTTATCATACAACGGATGTGTGGGAGTAGTGTTCATGTGTCTTTATTTTAAGGTCAAAGTTGCTTATATGATTCTGTTGGCGCCTCTGACTACATACTACATCACTAGTGACACTAGTGGAATTTCTGAAGTACTAGTTATGTTCTTATCGACGGTCTCGTTCACACTTCAGTGCGGCGGCACCTGCTCACGCTGCCCACTTTTCCAAGACCTCAGATGGGGCACACCATGGTGGACTTCCACTGGAAGGTTTTTTCCTTCTCAGCATGGCTGTTGGTGTGCACAGCTCAACGAAAGGAGATGTTGCTGTGACCCACCTCTTAACGCTTTTGCCCATGGAAGTCACACGTGATCTACACCACAAGTCATTCACATCGAACGTGACGTGCAGGCCGCCCCTTATACAGAGCAAACATGGTTTAGCTAGCTCCATCATGTGCAACAGGCTTGCAACAGGCTTGGCTTGGTCGTCAGGTTTCAAAGAAGGTGTGTTTTTTTTTCCCCGACTGCCTGGGCAGCCGGCCAGGACTTGTTAAGCCCCATGTCGGGCGGCTGGTGGAAGACTGGCACCGAGATTTTCCAGGGCCTGCAGCTCCTGTTCCAGCGGAAGTCCGCACAAGGTGGGGCGGTTCCGAGACGTTTCCGAAGCAAAGATATAAGATGATATAAGCAACATACAGAGTAAGTAGGTCATACAATACAGTATATAATATGACATATATATATAATATGATGATATATTCATAGTTTTGATATAACATGTGATATAATATTGTGTGCGGTCTATGTCGTTTAATCTACTGTATGTCTATATAAGCCAAGGGATTTCTGAGTTCTTTGTTTCCGGTGGGTTGTTTTCAACCAGCGCTTTGTCAAGAGAGTTAAATCTGCATGTTGCCACGTCAGAGATGGTGTCATACGAGCACGGAAATTCACACGAGCAGACATGAGAGCAGCACGTTTGGTTTAAATTAAACAAGCTGTTTGGTTCTTGCATTAAGTCTTTGTAGTTTGGCTTTCTTGGAGTCCAGGGGCCTGGAAATTGCAATCACCTCACATTTTGAGGTTGGTTTGCCAACTTGATTGTTTTTGACCGACATTCAAGTAGCTCTTCGAGATTAGAGGAACATCGGCGCAGGTATTTGAGGGCAAAATGGGTTGAGATCGAATGCCAGCACCACCCCTTGGCGCAACATGACAAAGAATGCAATGCATCCGGTGTTTGAGACCCACATGGATCCTGGCGACTGGGGACCAGACTGGAAGATGATTTTCCGCTACAGCCCAATGGTTTTCAGGTTCCACGTGGGTCTCTTCCAGAGTGTACATCCCGGTCCCAGTTGTCATCTTGAAATGGCGGTGTTCTCTTTCATTTTCAGACAAACCACCACTCCGGGTTGGTACACAGCTTTAGCATTGAGATGTGGTAGGACCCTCCATGTTTGTTTCGCCAAAGCGCCAGGCAAAGACTTCGAGGGACTAGGACTTTGGGCTCCTCGGCTGGTGCAAAGCGGCTGCGAATCGCAGAAGAATTCATGCACAAGCTGACCGGAAATCCACAGGTTGTACAGAGTCTGGAGGAGAGGTAGTACTTATTTCTTCATTAACAACACCATGACCTTCAAAAAAGGATATAAAAGGGGATATAGAGGAGTGACATGATCCCCTCTAAAACCTCGTTTTGAAAGCAGTTTCCATTTGATATAGTTCGACTCTCGTTTTTTGCGTTTTTTCGAGGACTTTGCCGATCCGAAGCTGGTGCTGGGCTTCGCGGTGGCGGTGCCACGGTACCTTCTCTCCACCGCACTCAAGGCGTTCGGTGGTTTTTCGGTGCGTTCGGTGACAGCGGAAGGCTTTTTGTTCTAACATGTTCCCCTCAAAAAGACAAAAGAAAACACATTTGGTGACACATCTTGAGAGCTTGGTCTTTGAATGTCTTTGGCGTGTGTGGGTAGCGTTTGTGGGAAAAAAAGACAGACTGGGTGTCCAACCACCTTCGAATGCAGTTGGATACACGGGTTATGGAAATGCAGAGATTTTGTGACGTGTTCCAGCATTATATATATCTACTCACAGATTGCCATACCGACCCTTTTAAGACTTTTAGCACATCATGGAGTAAACCGACCTTTTGTGCATTTGTATCATATGTCCTTTGGCAAGCTCCCTGGTATCAAAACCCGAACCCCAAAAAACGTGGAACAAATAAACGCCGTTTCGCGCCAGGCACCGAAACTGATTTTGTACATTGTGGTCCTCTTCGGAGCCTGGGAGAAAGCAGGGATGCCAAAAATGGGTTTGCAATGCCTCACATATCCCAGAGAATTAATGTCTTTATTTGCCCTGAATGGATGGGGTGGTTGGTTCAGATGTTTTCTGTGTCAAGGTAGTGCAGGTCGATATGCCCTACATGGATTTCTGGGGTATGAAAGGGTGGGCCGGCCATCGATGGAGAGTTGGAAGACATCGGTTTCTTTTCTACGGTAATTCTCATTCACCGCCACCCCCAAGAGGCGATTGAAACATGATGGAAACCACATCAAACCACCGACATTCGACAGGTTGCAGATGTTGTAGCAGGAGCTGACAAGGCAAACAAGACTAATCAAACAAGAACAATACATTTTATTGGCAAGCAGGAGCAAACATGAACAACACAATGTGTTGGATGTTTTTGGCGAAAGGGGATTTCGGTTTGGACTCTGCGCAGCCGCCGATCGAAGGACTGGCCGAGTTGAGCCAGTTCTTGGGCATACTGGGTGATCTGATTTTCCTGGCCATAGTGCCTCGGTCCGAAGTGGAAAAGTGAGCCGATGGGCACTGGGTTTTTGTTGTATATGCAGTCGGTCTAGATTTCGGGACATGTCCTGCCATGTCCTGCCCAACCACCCAATCAAGAATACCAGAATAGAGCTGGAATAGAGCTGGCTCGGGTGATGCAATTGCATAGGTTTGGAGTTCAGCGTTATGTCCCTCTGGGAGTTTGCGGGAAAGGGATTACTCTCGGAGGCTGAACATGAAAGCCACTCGACTAAGTTTGGCGCGAGTGAGTTTCGGAACGAGTCCTGACTGCTGTGTTTGGTTTTTGAGATTAGTTGACCCACTGGGAAGTCACACTATTGTTGTTCTTGGAATTGTGAGGGTGATAAGGATTGATGTGGTATGTCGTGCTTGTGGTTGTGTGCATGCCACCCTCACATGGGGCACGTGTTTGCGAGAACATCGCGCACGGCTCCAGCCAAACTGGAGCGACTTCTCCAGTTTGCCGACCTACTCAGCTTCTACCAGGTCACGGACTATATACTGTAAAGGCAGTGCTAAAGGAAAGCAAGCATTAGCAAGCTCATATAGAGTGCCTAAATTGAATAGGTGAGTTTATTTAATTGATGTCTATTGATGTAGAGGGGCTAGCTCAAGTGTACCACATTATATTAATCATAGGTATACTGTAGCACTGTAGCAACCTGATCACTGCAATGTGCCCAAAAGGACATCAGTGAGCAAGTCAGGAAATTGCACACCAGAGTGATCAAGTCCAACCCCCACGATGTGTAGTGGCTGCGTGCCCCTGGCAGCACAAGCTATCACCTCTAACACGTGAATCTATGGTCGTGGAGATGCACACACACGTGCAGTTGGGTCATGCACAACCAGCCTGTGTCCGGAACACTCGTTGACTCGCTGATCGTCACGTCGGAGATGGCGCGCGCGTGCGCGTCGCAGCGCTCAGGAATTGGTCTTCTTGCGGCTGATCCTTTGCACCTTGGAGAGTCACAACGTCACTACGTGTTTGTGGCAACGTCGGACGGTGAGTTGACAACGACGAGGAGGCATGATTTTTTGCAGGCACCATGTTTGCTCCAGGCTCATTCCACAACCACATTCCCTGTGCCCTGTAAATGTGACATTATATATGTTGCCATACCCAGACCTTACAATAGTGTCATCAATGGGGGAAATGAATGTGACTATTTCCATAGCCTGGAGTGTCTGGAATACTAAAACACAATGTTTTTCGAGCTTTGCACAGAACGTCCGCTCACTCGGGCCACACTCGGGTTTTCCCGACCTCAGGTGTCTTGCTGCGCGATCGCGACCTGGTCCTGGCGCGCTCCATCCGCCAGACCTGCGGCGCGACCGGTTCCGCCGGTTCCGTCGTGGCGGTGCTGGGTGCAGCGCACTGCAACGGCGTGAAGCGGCACTTGTCACTGGGACCGTGACCCGGGGTGACCCGGTTCGTGCGTTGCGGAGGTGAGAGTGGTAGATGTGGTAGATGTGGTTGCGGAAGGTTGCGGAATGTGGTAGATGCGTGGCAAAAAAGACATCGTCTCCATAAGTTCCTCTCTGTGTTTTCATGATGAGCTGTTCATATTATATTACATTCATATTGTATATCTATCTATCACTCCTATCGAGTCTGCTAGCGCCAGTGGCGTGAGATTTTGAGGGCGCGCTTGGGGGTAGCATCGGACCGTATTGCGGCTGCTTGCGTCCATTGGACGGCCACATCTATGGTTTTTTCTTGCTGCGCACATCCAAGCTGAGACTTTGAGAAACTGCGATGATCCGGAAAGACCTCTAGGATCCCTAGTGAACGTGTTGGCAGGTTCGAAGGCCTAGTCCATTGGCTATTTTAGTGGGGGAGCTGGAATTGGATCCAACATGCTCAAAGCCCCTGCCCGGAACCTCGTGTTCACGCTCACCTCCCGCAAAGGTGGAGCTGGCTGGAGTTTTCACTGTGTTTTTGGAAGAATTGCTTTGGGTTCGAAATCTTGTTGCCCTTTCCCCTCCATGTCACGAAGAGCACGGCCATGCCTCTTTGTTTTTGCTGGGGAAGAATCACAGGTTGTCCACACAGAAGGAGATGGCTGAAGCTGAAGCTGTGAGGTGAGTGAGTGGTGTTCGGCGATGTAGGGGAGCCAGGACTCAAAGCATCCCATATCCTTTACTGTATCAGTTGCGACGCCACGCAAACAGAGTGGATTTCTGGGTCCCAGCCAGTGTTTTTTGGCACTACGGCACTACATGGCACAAATTTCTATATATATTAATTAATATAATTATACTACTATGCCACTCTACCCTTGAGTCCTGCCCGGGCGTGTTCAGTGCGATTTTCCTTTGGAGCCGGGTTTTGACTCAAAGCTTGGATTGGGAGTAGGACACTTGAGCGGAACATAGCATACCCTGGGTGCGTATTCCTTCAGAAGCAATGCCCATTTTGATATATGTCAACAATGCTCCACACCACAATTGTATTCTGTCTTCAAGCCACGTAAAGACACCATTCGTTGTGGAAACCGTGGAAGCTGCAAAGCCGCAGCAGAGCAGCCGATCCATTCGGCCGAGAAAAAAAATGCGTCGCTGAAAACGAGGGACTTCATGCCCATAGGGACTGAGACTGAGAGGATGAAATCCTCAGGTGTGGCGACCCGCGACCGCGGAGGAAAAAACAGGTCCAAGGACCGCGGTTCCGTTCGAACGAGACTGCGCGGTGTGTGTGATCCCCATGCAGCGTTTAGGAAGACCGAGGGAAGAGCGTTCCCTCAAGCGATGCGTACCATGGGCCATGGTTTGAACACTTGGTGCCTTGGTTTTGGGGTCGGACTACTGTCCTCCCGCGCGTTGGAAGCTTTCTGAAACGCATGATTAGTATTGATTAGTTGCATTGCTGCATCATGCTCAGCAATCCCATTTGCAACACACATAGTTTTGTCTTTTGCACAAAACTGATTGGTTTGACTCGTTTTGACCATTCTCCCGCTGGAATCTCTTATTACTAATTACCGGTGGTCTTGCATCCCTGGGCCAGGCAACTCAATGTCAGGCATGTGACGCTGGACACTTTGGCAAGCATTGCTCCGATCCAACTGCATAGATATGATATAGATAGTAGGACCCAGAAGGTGTTGCTTGTAGAGACCCCTTAACCTCTTAGGGCTGTCTTAGGGATTTTTAATGGAGACCCTTTAAGGGTCCAGGAATGAAGCTCTTTCAATAATTTTCGACAGCCAGTATGCAGTAGATTCGGGTAGACATGGATACACCCTTGGCCCAAGCATCAAACCTCAGGAGGTTGCAGTGATCCTTTGTTTGGGGTGCTAATCGAGCTGGCTGCAGCTCTAGTCAAAGACCAAAGAATTGCGGTCGTGTCCCCTGGAGTCTCAGTGAGTAACTGGAACATGCCTGCAAAATGTTTGAGGTGCCACCCAGGGTAACATTGGAGACGCTTCGACTTCTGGGATATCATCCACTCAATGTTGGCAATAGCAGAACTGCAGCACTGTTTGGTTCGCTGGCGCGAAAGAGTCGGCGGGAGGAACCCCCGTTCCACCGTTCCATGTACTTTACGGTCGCCGGAAGAGTAGACAGGAGATGGAGGTCGATGGTATCATTCCAGATTTGTACCAGTGGTGCACAATCTCTTCCTTCAACACTAGGATTAATCCAAATTAAGGTTGCGATGCTGTAGGCCTACGAGCTAAGCACCCACGCAGAATGTAGACATCAGGTGTGTATACATACAATATAAAAATATATACTGAAAATCCAAATGCTTGTTTTGCGGAAAAGTCTTTGTCAAGGTTCAATACAATCTGTCACGTGCACAGGCCCAACATCACCAACATCAGTGTGGCAGCCACCAAAACAATGTAACATTTGTGTTTCATGATCTAGGTTTAGGCACAGCCCAAGGCAGCCAAGAATGCTCTTTGAGACAGCCTTTGTGTCACCCAAACCTGAACTGAACCTTGTACCACCTAGCGCTGTGGTTGTGCTGGGTGAAGGCTTGTTTGATCACAGTACTGCAGTCCCCATCTCCAAGGACAGTACTCTGGAGGAGGCGGGAGAGCGGCAGATGGTTGTCACTTTGGAGTGGATCTAATCTAACAGGTGTTAGGCTAGGTTAAAAAAGTGATGCTTTTGCTCTGAGGGGCGTTAAGGTGCGAAACTCAGCTAAGATCCTGTACTTGTGTAATTGTCTATGTCTATGTTTGCTTTGCTTGTGCCATGACGAGACGAACGTGCTCATGAGAAGGTTCGATTCATGAGGCTCCTGAGGTTGCTGGTTGACAGGAATGACAGGACCCCCCTGGGGCGGCACTGCAAGCTGCATCATTTGTCATGAGAGGCTGGACCAACTGTCAAAACTGCCCGGTGCTCAGCTAGAGTCAGGAGTGTGCAGTGTGCCCGGAGCTTCTGTCTACTGCTGTATGGCAGGTTGCTGCTTGAGTTTGAAGACCTCTTCCACTGAGTGAGGATGCAGGGGAAGGGCTGATTCCATGGCATGATGAGTGATTTGTTCATGTTCAGTAACTCTAGGAGCTGAGAACTCGAGAAATCCCAGAAAGTCCAGCACCCTCCCCAGTGCGCTGCGCACATCTCCCAAGTGCGAAATTCGGCAGTGTGCCGGTGGTATTTGAGTGTTAAGACTAAGAGGTGGTATTTGAGTGCTAAGACTATACAAGAGGTTGGTATCCACTGAGGTAATCCTGGCACCTTTCAGCCCTTCTTGGCCATGGACACCTGCCGCTGGGACCGCACGAGACGCGGTAGTGACCGTGACGCCGGAAGCCGACGCCGAAATCCGGTAACACGTGACCGTGGTATCCACAGGTGACCGTTGGAAGAACGAGTTTGGAAGGCCTCACACAGGCAGAAGAAGGACTGCACGTAGAGTTGAGACTCTACGCCTACCCCACCGGCTGACGTGATAGGAAGATGTTCAACTGTTCCACGGTCGTTCGACGGGCCATACATATGATATGATGATAGTGGGTCAAAACCTGGAGCCCTAAACCCCAGTAGGTCCAGGTTGACCTCCCTGGTAGTCCATTCTGTTCATTTGTCAAGGTCAACCGGTCGGTCCCCAGGTGGGAAGACCCACTTTTGCTTGGCCCTTGTGCCGTTTTCGATGTCTCCTACTGCGCCGACTGGTGATTTGTTGGAATCTAATGACTTCCCGCATGTCCCCCTGAGTAGGACTAAGCGATGCCAAGCATCTCAAGAACCCAAAGCAGAGTTTGGATGAGCTTGCCGAGTTGGTGGAGTCTGGCTTCATTCAAAGGGACACTACCCAAGCAAGATTTGTTTGTTGGTTGGTTTCTTGCTCCACCCCTGGATCCTCTAAATATCTCTATATAAATACCCTGGCCGCGGGCAGCCACGCAAAATGGCTCAGGTTACACCTGTGAAGATGGACAGTCCAGCAACTCCGGCTCCACCAGTTGCTTTGGTGTGCACCAGATTTTCTCATGTCCCCACGGCCGTGCACGGACTGTGCGTCTAAGTCACGTTTCACATCTGTGAACATCGGCAAGGTCGAACAAGGTCCCAAGGTCCCATGGGCTTTCTGCCAGTCCAAGGTTGCTTCAACTGTGGCACGGGAAGTTTCGCCCTCGCCGGCGATTCCAGCTGCACCACCTGTGTCTCGGAGAGATCGCTGGAGTAGGTCCGTCCTTCGAACTGACTGGGCACACGATTGGCATCACCTGGCTCAACCCTCCGATGTTAGGGCAGGGCCATGCTCCAGGCTCCCACAAACTTGATCCAATCCATGCATGTGACATGAAGTTACTATACTGGTACACTCGAGAATGCTTGAGAGCATGAGGGGAGGGGTCAGACCATTTGTGCTGCAAACTTGAAGGCTTTGAGGTGGCACATGAGTCTTTTGGGGACCCCTGATGGTGCTAGGCCGCACCAACAGGATCTCCAGCAGAAAGGCCAAGTGTTGACGGTCCATCCGTAGCCCCGGCCCTATGCCAAGTTTAAAACTATATACTTGACTTGAGATGGGTCAACATCATCCAATGAACGGTCCGGAACTCCTGTGTTGGGGTGCTTCTTTGCTGTGGCTTCACCCCAGCAGCAAGTCAGACTTTCGCAGCTGGTGCCTAAAGAGGAAGCCAAGCAAAGCATCATGTTCCTCGCTTTTCCTCACTACAGATCTACAGGGAGCCAATGAGAACCTCAGGCCGGCCACTTTCGTGAATTCTGGTGGATTCTCGCTCTCGGTTGCTGAGGCCCCGTGGGCCGCTTTGCAAGCAACGAGAAGTCGAGCGCCTGCGAGCGTTGTGCTCCCGGGCTCTATGCGGACGCTGGGATGATGGGACGTTGGGACAGAGGCAGGGAATTGGACATGACATGCCTTAGAAATGATCAATTAATGGATCCCAATGATACGGAAGACGATTGTTGCGTTTTCTGACCAAACGAC